CATAAACTAGATACAGCAGTCAACCAATAAGAAATCTCCACACTTAATGGCTCCTGGCGCCACCTCACAAGCCACTCCCCCTGACAAAATGGTTCTGGCGCCACCTCACAAGCCACTCCCCCTGACAAAATGCCAGGTGCCATCCTGACTTGTTTACAGATTCTAACAAGTCCACAGTTGCCTGACCTTGTTCCTTTGAGCCTGTGGCCAGCCCATGTAACAAAGGGACCCCATGGCGAGGAAGCTGTTGGCTCATGGCAGTCAGGAAGCAAAGAGAGGGAGAGGAAGGAGCCACGGTCCCAATATCCCCTCCAAGGGCACTCCCAAGTCACTTAGCTCCCTTCCACTAGGCCCCACCTCTTAAGAGTTCCACCGCCTCCCAGGAATATCACAGGCTGGTGACCCAGCCTTTAGCATACAGCCTTTGGGGGCCAAACTGTAACAGCTGGGCACCCAAAAGGAGGTGATTGTATTGTTGAGATTTATTGAGTACTTAACAGCTGGAAGGCAGTTTCAGGAGCTTTTACATTGATGATCTCATCTACATTCCCCAGCAGCCCTGTGAGGCTGGTGTTGTGATTATCCTCCTTTTGTAGGTCAGGGGACTGAGGATTTTGATGACAAGGAACTCGCCCCAGTCCACCCATTTAAGTCTAGCAGAGTCTTTAGTCTCAAACTTCACTGCTACATGGGATGGAGGGTGGAGGCCTGGGCTGAGGAAGTGCAGTAGAAACAGAAGGAGGTGGCTGCTTCAGAAGTGTCAGGAGGTGAGAGGTGACTGGGTGAGAAGGGGTCTGGTGGTGAAAGAGGAGCCAGGAACGTGGGGAGACACAGGGTACAGTCGGGTAGGAGAAAGCACTTCTGATGTTCTGTAGCACAGCAGAGTGACTCGTTAACAATTAATGGAATATTTTAAAATAGCTAATAGAGAAGATTTTGAATGTTCCCAGCAAAAAGAAATGATAACCGTCTAAGGTGTAGACATGCCAGCTACCCTGATCTCATCAGTACACATCGTGTATATGTGTGCACTGCCATGCTGTTCCCCATAAATATGCAAATATGTGTGTCGATTAAAAAATATATATTTTTAAAGGGTGGGTAGGTACATGTGTGTGTACCCAGGTATACACATGCAGGCGGGTAGGCTGGGACGGGGAATGGCCAGGGGGCAACCCAGTTCTCTCTTAAGACATCACAGTGAGGAAAGAGGTCTTGTTAGAAGTTCAGATCCAGAGTCAGAGCTGGAGACACACATATGACAGGTAAACTTTGCAGTATTTTATGAGTGTCACTTTTTATCTACAACAAAGAATCGAGTCCTCATTTGTGACTTTGCTTGCCCACTTGTTTTGGTAAAGACATTCAGAATTTGGGAGCTTTGTTGATTTTTAATATGAAGTCCTGGCTATTTATGTTGGCATTTTAAAATATTTTCCCTAAATACTAGAAATATAAGAAAAGAGACTTTTTTTTTAACTGGACTTATGCTGAACTTGCTTGCCATTCAATAATTTGAATATTGTTATTACCGATTTCCCTCCTGTTTGAGGCTGAAAGCCACTCCCAAGAGTCTGTGCAGCTTTTCCATGTCTGTCCGAATCATTTGCCTGGAGAAGTGAAACAATCTCTTATGCATCTTTTCTTTTGAGACAGAAAATCTGTTTTGCCAAAATTAAGTAGGTCTTGCATTCCAAGAGGCTGGAATCCAGCTTTTAATTCACAGCACATGATCATCACGTGGGTCCTCTGGCCAGAAACCCTTCCTCCCGCCTGGTTCTGCAGCAGAGGCTGGTGACAGTGTTGGGTCAGTGCTGCAGGATGAGCAAGTGGTGCTGATCAGATGTGCTCAGGTCAGCTGGGGCATGGATAGTTGGTTTGTCAGGCTTATGTGAAAGCTTAGGTGTTGTATTGCCTTTTAAATTTGAGAAAGAAAACTTTTCTGAATCTTCTTTGGTCAGTTTGCTTTGATATATGTCTATGTATGTGTGTCTTTATATGTATTTAAATGTTATAAATATTTCATATCTACATCTTATTAGGGGGCACTGGGTACTGAACCTGGGGGCACTTCACCGCTGAGCTACGTTTCAACCTTTTTTATTTTTTGAGTTAGGGTCCCACTAAGTTTTTGAGGCTGGTCTCCAACTTGTAGTCCTCTGCCTCAGCCTCCTAAGTCAGAGGAATTACAAGTGTGCACCACCGCACATAGCTGATAAGTTTATTTTCCCTGAGTTATATTTTCTTGGTTTTATATTATTCCTTAAATACTTTTTACTAAGACATATTGAATTAGGTTAATAGAGTTTTATAATTTTATTCTTAAAACAAGTACTTAGACATAATTTTTCATTATTATATTTTATTTTTTCTTTCTTCTTACTTATTTGTTTTTTCAGCACGAAGTATTGCACCCAGGGGTGCTGTGCCACTGAGCTTCATCCCCAGTTCTTTTTTAAATTTCCTGTTTTGAGTCAGGATCTCAATAAGTTGCTGAAACTGAAACTCAAACTTGAGATCCTCCTGCTTCAGCTTCCTGAGTCACTGGTATTACAGGTGTGCACCATGATGCTCATCTCATTAATATATTTTAAAAACTGTATATAAATGCTGCTGATGAATGATGAATGTCCTTCAGCCCTTAGTTTTAGAAAGAGGAAGAGAAAAAGTATAGAAAGTTCTGTGAGCAGTTTTACTCATTGTGACTAGTTGAGGGACTTTTTATATTTCATTTGGCAAAAGCTCTGAAATGCAGCTGTAGGCCAGAAGTGGTTCTCAGCATCGTACAGCAGCAGTCCCTGGAGCCACATCTGGTCTCTCTGCTGTCATGTGCCTTTGCGCGTGGTGGGGCTGAGTCCTGCCTGTGGGTCATTGGAATGAACGAAGCCGCAGGCATTTCAGGGCACTGGCAGATCAGAACTGGTTACGTGGAACACGACTGTTTTGAAAACACTGAGTTTAAAAGCTTTAGTAGTATCTGAACAGATGCGTAACTATACCTATACGTAAACTTTGCATTAAACCCACATAAATTTTGCATTCAGTATATTTGTTATGATACTCGTTCTGATTCTGGTAACCTGCCATAATTTTGTTCCTAAAGGGTTTAACATTTTTTAATTTTTCAAAATGGACTTCTTAGGGCTTTACAGTGATAATTACACAGATCATGTCCTTGCAGCTGTTGTCCTGAGGAATCGGGGCCAGGTGCAGTGGCAGTTCTAGCTGTGGGCACTAAGGCTGTCCCTGCCATTCTCCTCTGTGGGGAGTGCTTTCAGGTTGTCCTGTTGTTGTTGTTTTTGTTATTTTGCTTTTAAAAAATTAAATCTTGGATGGAATATTTTTGAGAACTATGGTTAAGGCGCTCACTTTCCTTCCTCCAGGCAGGACAATCACCCAGCTCCATCTCTCCAGCCCTTCTTTTTTTTTTAAATATTTTTTTTAGTGTTGATGGACCTTTATTTTATTCATTTATTTATATGCAGTGCTGAGAATTGAACCCAGTGCCTCACACATGTGAGGCAAGCACTGTACCACTGAGCCACAACCCCGTCTCCACCCTTTCTTAACCAAAGCTTTTGGAGTATAGAACTACTGAACCTAAAACGGATCCTAAAAGCTCAGATTTAAGGTGGAAACAGTGTCCTCTCAAATTGGGGTGAGGACAGTGGGAGAGAATAGAAGTGAAATAATTGGAAGGGGAGATATGCATAAAGTTGGTGTAGTAACGAAGACAGGCTTCTTCTTTCGTGGTGCTGCATACAGATGTGAGCTAAGCAAGTTCCTGTAC